TGATAAAATCAACTCAGCCCACGACTGTGCCTTAATGCAAGATATAATAAGCACCATATCACTAGTACAAGTCTCCACAAACTGAGAGCTGATATCCCTAGTCCATATTTGTCTGGGGAAACACCCTGAAAGGTCATTTACAACACTGTTTTGACCCGCAGCGAAATTCAGCCCCACACAACAACCACGTAGTGCTCGTGTTTCTGATCTAATATATAACCAATCATTATTTATTAAAGATACGACATGCACGCAGTCTGCCAACTCCCCAATAGAAGAGCAACACATGCTGCAGAGAATGTTTAGAATTTAGCCAGACAAGTGAACTCCCTCTGCAGCACTGCATGTCTAAGTTGATTCGTGATTATTAACCATGCACTCCTTGTTATGGATTAGTGGTTTTGCATGCCACTTAATTATTTGCTCAAATGCTTCCTTGTAACACTGGTTGTGCTTTTCCAACGAAATGTGATTTGAGGTTTATTCAGTTCATAACAACTAGCACGTTACCTTTCAAAACTATGTTTCACACCCTTTCACACGGAACTAAATGCATTTGATTTTCAACAGTCAGTTAGAGAAAATAAAATGGCTGAATAATATAATTAATTCTTTTTTCAGTTAATCTTTCAATAAACAAAACAAATTAAAAATATCTACAGTACAGGCCAAAAGTTTGGACACACCTTCTCATTCAATGCGTTTTCTTTATTTTCATGACTATTTACATTGTAGATTCTCACTGAAGGCATCAAAACTATGAATGAACACATGTGGAGTTATGTACTTAACAAAAAAAGGTGAAATAACTGAAAACATGTTTTATATTCTAGTTTCTTCAAAATAGCCACCCTTTGCTCTGATTACTGCTTTGCACACTCTTGGCATTCTCTCGATGACCTTCAAGAGGTAGTCACCTGAAATGGTTTTCCAACAGTCTTGAAGGAGTTCCCAGAGGTGTTTAGCACTTGTTGGCCCCTTTGCCTTCACTCTGCGGTCCAGCTCACCCCAAACCATCTCGATTGGGTTCAGGTCCGGTGACTGTGGAGGCCAGGTCATCTGCCGCAGCACTCCATCACTCTCCTTCTTGGTCAAATAGCCCTTACACAGCCTGGAGGTGCGTTTGGGGTCATTGTCCTGTTGAAAAATAAATGATAGTCCAACTAAACGCAAACCGGATGGGATGGCATGTCGCTGCAGGATGCTGTGGTAGCCATGCTGGTTCAGTGTGCCTTCAATTTTGAATAAATCCCCAACAGTGTCACCAGCAAAACACCCCCACACCATCACACCTCCTCCTCCATGCTTCACAGTGGGAACCAGGCATGTGGAATCCATCCGTTCACCTTTTCTGCGTCTCACAAAGACACGGCGGTTGGAACCAAAGATCTCAAATTTGGACTCATCAGACCAAAGCACAGATTTCCACTGGTCTAATGTCCATTCCTTGTGTTTCTTGGCCCAAACAAATCTCTTCTGCTTGTTGCCTCTCCTTAGCAGTGGTTTCCTAGCAGCTATTTGACCATGAAGGCCTGATTCTCGCAGTCTCCTCTTAACAGTTGTTCTAGAGATGGGTCTGCTGCTAGAACTCTGTGTGGCATTCATCTGGTCTCTGATCTGAGCTGCTGTTAACTTGCGATTTCTGAGGCTGGTGACTCGGATGAACTTATCCTCAGAAGCAGAGGTGACTCTTGGTCTTCCTTTCCTGGGTCAGTCCTCATGTGTGCCAGTTTCGTTGTAGCGCTTGATGGTTTTTGCGACTCCACTTGGGGACACATTTAAAGTTTTTGCAATTTTCCGGACTGACTGACCTTCATTTCTTAAAGTAATGATGGCCACTGGTTTTTCTTTAGTTAGCTGATTGGTTCTTGCCATAATATGAATTTTAACAGTTGTCCAATAGGGCTGTCGGCTGTGTATTAACCTGACTTCTGCACAACACAACTGATGGTCCCAACCCCATTGATAAAGCAAGAAATTCCACTAATTAACCCTGATAAGGCACACCTGTGAAGTGGAAACCATTTCAGGTGACTACCTCTTGAAGCTCATCGAGAGAATGCCAAGAGTGTGCAAAGCAGTAATCAGAGCAAAGGGTGGCTATTTTGAAGAAACTAGAATATAAAACATGTTTTCAGTTATTTCACCTTTTTTTGTTAAGTACATAACTCCACATGTGTTCATTCATAGTTTTGATGCCTTCAGTGAGAATCTACAATGTAAATAGTCATGAAAATAAAGAAAACGCATTGAATTAGAAGGTGTGTCCAAACTTTTGGCCTGTACTGTATATCTGCAAGGGATGTACCTTGAACCTGCATTAATAGAGTTTTTGGCCATTTTGGGGCGTAAAGTCCAAACAGTTGCCTATGTACACATACAACAGACACAGAGCAATAATTCAATAATAAGTCGTCTCCGCCAGCCTCTGTTCCCCAGCTAATCAGTGTTTGGTGCTGGACAGGTAGCATACAGTGTGTTTATTAGAGCTTTTTCACCAAAAACAGCTGCTTGCTGTGACTGAAATGATGGGCTGTGAGGGCAGTAAGACCAATGCACAACAGTTAAGTTACTGACTGTAAAAAGCAAACAATCAACTGAAAAGCAAAAAAAAAAAAAACCACTCCATAGAGCAGCAGTAACTGTCAAGTCAGAGGTAGGACGCATACGCAGAGCAAAACTGGAATTAAAACACAAACAGATGGTGCAGAGAGGAAGCAGTGAGCTAAAGTAAAGAACACTAAAAACAACACCATATGTCACCTGCCAAAAAGGGTCCAACACTGCAGCATGGCACAGCATGGCACAATCTGCATAGGGCAAGTTAGTTTGTCCTGGTCCTGATAGGAACATGTGGCTTGGCACCAGCAGAGTACAGCCAATCGAGCATTATGAGGACGCAGCCACACAATCTCATGAAATCCTATCACTATGAAGCAAGGTCATCAGGGGGAGGGGATGTTTTAGAATATAGTCTAGATAAGCAGATCTTTCTTGAGAAAGCGTTGAAATACACCTGCATAGTGCCCTTTGTAATTTATTGGAGCAGGGGCATTACGCCTCAGCAATGACAATGTCTCAATATTAGCAGTAACCACCATATGAGCGCAGTGCAGAATGGCGGTGATTAGCTAGCCAGCCAGTACATCTACTACAATAAAGAACAGAGAAGATCAGATTACAACACATACAGAGGGAGCATGACTTCATCCTCCACTCAGGATGCCATTACTCCTCTATATCTTTATGCAGCCAATGGTGGTTTGCAGCTATATTAATGCTCTGAATGTCACTCCTTCATAACAAAGCAAATATGGCAGGCAGATATCGGCACATTGAGCCCAATGTGAGTAGGAGTCATAAGAGTGATTGTTCTGATCACAGGTTTCACTTACTCCACAACTATCGAATTCTGGTATCAATCATATGTAACAACCAGTTTTTTTCAGTTGGGGGTCCCTGAAGCAAAATATTGTCATATGGGGGCCTGTGTCCTAATGTGCGTCAGTTTAGGGGTCCTTGACATAAAAAAAAAGGTTGAGAAACACTGGTCTAAGCTACAGATCAAAAGACAGCCTTATCGTAGCTATGGTGTGGATGCACACAACCTCCCATCACCCCACAAGTCTAGACAATCTCTGCATCTAACCATCAACCCTTTCTGGATTGCTGCGGCACTTGATTGCCACAATGTCATCATGATGTCAGAGTGGCCGCTGGGATATGCCGTCTGCGGAGCTCCAGTGGAAACTGCTAAGGAAGCCAAGTGACGACAGGTTAATCGGCTTGGTGACATTTTGACATCTGTGGCTCACAAATGTGGCAGAGTGTGTGGAGGAGGGATTAGGTTTCACACACTCAGGTCAACAAAAAAATACATACACTGAAGTTCATTGTTAAGCAAGTGAATAAATGTAGTGACCAGGGCTACAACTAACAATAACGATATTGTCATTATCACTTTATCTGCTGATTAATATCTTGATTAATCAACCAATCTTTTAGTCTATAAAATGTCAGGTAATATTCTAAAATGCCAACCGCAATTTCCAAACAACCAAGGCAACATCATCAACTTGATTTGTTTTACCTTTACAATACTCCAAAGAAAAACAGCATATCTGTGAAACTAGAACAAAACAATGTTTGGCATTTTGCTGTATAAATCACTTACAGGCTAACTGGAAGCATCACACAGCTGTTACCTAATGGTTATTAACGGGTTTGAGGACAAAGTCAAGTCTTTTTGTATCAGTGAACTTTTTTTTTTACCTCAGCTGAGTAGGCGGTCCTTTAGTGTGGCCCAGGACATATTATAGTATACACACTGCTGAAAAAACATTAGCCATATGCAGCCCACACCACCTCTGAATGTGGTCTTAGTGATCGAATCTCAAGATACATTGAGGAGGCATTGGGTGCTTTCACATCTGTACTTAGAGCTGTCTACTTGTGATCCGATCACCCAAGATTCATGTTAATACCAGCTGTAAGCAGGGCCAGACATTGACGGATACTGTTTTCACCGAACTGGGCGAAAAGTAGGTACACCCTCTCATTTATGTTCATGCCTTCCTTGTAAATTTGTTTAGGCATCTGCCAAATACAAAGCTGCTGTGTTCTACTTCTTGGCCAGCCATTAAAAGTGACGCATTAACTTTCAGCAAACCTTACAACTTGACTTGTGCCAATACTGAACTTGTCAAACAAAGGCTAAAACAAAGCAGCAGTAAAACTTTCAAGGCAGCAATATGGCAAAAACAAACCAATGCATGTATGAAAACACTGCAAGGAAATGTCCTGAAATGAGGGTGTAATCATTTCATGTTACTCTTTACCAGACTTTAACACACACAGTCCCAAAATATTTCACATTTAAGGTGAAAAGGTCTTTCAGGGAACATGAAAAAGAGCTTAACATCAATTAAGCCCACAGAGCCTGTCACTGCTAATTCCATCACTACACACTGTGTGTTTAGTGCACATAAAACAGTACTCACAGAAGTACTTGAGCGTCTCTTCAATCTGCTCGTATGTGAGTCCCAGAGCGACTGTTGGGGGCAGCAGAGGGGTGTGCAGCCAGTCGTCATTGTCGTATCCAAACACGCTGTCCGCTCGAAGAGTGTAGTTGGGCCGACCCTCTGATAGGAGGCTCACTATCTCCAACTCTGGCAGGTTAGAACAAAGGTCTGGGTGTGGGGAGTGTTTGTTTGCACATATGTGATTTGTATAAAGATTCATGAATGTATGTGTTTATGTATAAGGAAAGAAAAACAAAGAAAGAGAAAGAAAGCAGCACTTTAACAACTCAATTAGGCTGACATGTCATCTACAACAGCACACTGCCCTCTACTGATAAATCTATGAACCTACATTGCACTCTTACAACTGCTCCATATTCAAAATATAATTGAATTAACCTTTGTGCTTTTGGTATCATAAACATATAAGTAACTTGCAGACTGATGAGTGAGTGAGGTTTTTATCTAGATATCTCATTCATAATTATCTTTTTTTCAAAATGATACATATAGAAGATATTCCTCCTTTGTGAATTACCTGTTAAAGTTGACACATCTTGGCAGGGTCGCTGTCCCACGTCAAGATGAATAGCCTGGGGGTCCACATCCAGGACCCCAGGTACCTCCCCCCGCCCCTCATGGAGGGAGAAGGCTGACTGGGAGTCCAGGTGGGCCTGTGGGGGCCAGGAGGGAGGAGAAAGAGGAGCAGGAGGAGAAGAAGAAGAGGGAGAGGAGGCAGAGTGGGACAGCTTGACTGGGGTGGGAGGGTTCAGGGTGAAGGTAAACTCACAGCTGGGTGTCCCGCTGTGGGACTGGTGCCCCCTGGTGGTTCAGGGAGACAATGCAGGCGTCCAGGGCATCAGGCTCTGACTGACAGAGAAGGTATTGACTGCAGAGAGGAAAATATAAAGAAGAAGAAAAACGGGGAGGAGAGAGAAAAATAGGGAGGGGAGAAAACAGAGTAGAAACATTAGAATGTTAAAGGAACTATGTGCAGAAATGTTTTCAATATAGCACTGCACAACATGAATATACAGTACTGTGCACCTAGACTGCAGTATGGTGTGATGACAGTTTGTTTTCAGTCTTTCAGATTTTCTCGGCAAATAAACATATAAAATTAAAAACTTTAATTCCATCAAAGACATTCCATCAAAGTGTTTGTTTTACCATGGCCCCGCATACTGTAGACTCCGAATTAGTTAGAAAACAAGGTAGTTAACATATCTCATACTAGCGCATTTTTCAGACCTTTTTTTTCATCAATTATTTGTGCAGTGCTACTCTAATATACTGTATATCCGTGATGAGGGCTGAGAATTAATCAAATTTTATTTTCAATTACAATTTTGGCTTATGAATACAAGATAATCGAGATAAAATTATAATACAGCCACATTCTGTTTTCAGTAGGATGTGGAAGTGCAACATTCCAACCCAGCTGATCTTATTTATTATGATGTCTTTTTTTTAAATTCATTTTTATGTTATTTATTTAAATATATATATTTATAAATTATTTTTTTAAAAATGAAATAAATGCATGACGTTCCCAAAGTCATAGAATAATTGAGTCAAATAATAGTGATCTTATTATTGACCAAAATTACTGTGGTTATGATTTTTGCCATAATCAAGAGGCCCTATCTGTGATCAAACATGAACTAATCATCAGAAAACACAGCAACTTCAGTGATGACAGTTTTTAATACATCTTATCTGATAAGTAATTGAGACTCATTCATTTTGCACAAGATCTGAACTCTCCCAGCATCGAATAACCTTTTGTTTGATCAAAGTGCCTTTCACTAGAAGCAAAGCAGGGTCTGGCATCTTGTCTGTGCTTTAGGGTCACACATATAGACTTACCACAGCCTGAAGCTACACACAGATCAGGTTCGTCATAACTGTAACACCCCTTTTAAACAGGCATTGCGTGCTGTATAGATTACACACAGAACCCTTATATGTCAGTAGCTACAGCTACTGTAGGAAGAGTGTCCATACAGTATGCACTGTTACCAATTCAGTATTATCTCTGACATAACGCAACACAAAGTGCCATTTATGTCATCTATTTTAAAATACTCCCAATAACATACACACACGGAAAAGAAGAATCTCTTATGTTTTAAGATTTGCAATCTTTGTATAACAATTTGGGTGATTGGGTTCACCTAGCTAAAACTAATGCTGTCTAATACACCTGCTTAATATCAATGGGGGTAGGTTTAATAGCAGAAACACCTCTCTGTATAATGCAACACAATTCAACTTCACACAACATCCTCCAAAACAGGAAGGATTCATTGTAGGACTGTTTTTTTACTCCACCAGGTTAGGTGTACCTAATAAAGTGGCAACTGAGTGCATGTACTTTTATAGTGGAAACGTGAGTATAATGTAATGGTATAATGGAAACATGATCGGAAACAGATCATTTGAATCTAGTTTATATGTATCTGCCAGCATAGCAATACATTTGCTTGCTATAAAGGCAGCCATAAATGTGGTGATATAGATCAAACACTGCAAGCATAAAAGCATAATGTTGTATGTGGTGATATCATATGGTGATCATTATAGTCAAAATACACAGAGGTATGCTCATGACAAAGATTTTAAACTGTTAAACGGTTAGAATAATGCTCTTCTCATAAACTCAGATCACATAAAAGATTCATGCTTTATCCAGGCTGGTAACAAAAGGACACTTGATACCTCGGCCCAGTTATTGCAGTCAATAAAACATGCTAGATGGAGGGCAAAGGGTTAGGCCCAATTAAAGCAACAGCTACTAGCCTATCATGTTAAGTACAGGGCGAGCATGTGCAGCTAAAGACTGCAGCTGTGTACACATCTTCGCACACCCATCTGATTATACTTGAAATGAACTGAACCCCCCAGCACTAGTATCACTTTCACCACCAGAAGCCCTTTATTTCCCTTTATCCTTTTTGGTCTCTTCCCCTCCTCTGCTTTCCATCATTCATTCAATCAGCTGAGTGTTTTGGTTTGTGGCCAGCATTTCTCCATCAATACTCTTTCTCCTACAGATGTCAGAGGAGTCACCCCGCCTGCACACTTCAGCTTTTATATCCAAACACATCAAACCTACCATATTTGACAGTAAATCTACAGTATGTGTGTTTTGAGGTGAGTAAAGGTTCTCCTTTAAATGTATCCACAACAGAATTAAAATTCAATTAACATAGACTCTGTGGGTATAAAATATCTTAATTTCACATGCACACACGACAAAAGCGATGTACTTATGCCGAGGGGAAAAAAACAGGCCTGTCCGAGCTTTTCACATTAATACTGTCAGTTCCAATTTAGCAGTGAGTGAAACACACTGTCGGGTTTGTTGACCATGCAGCCAAGCGAGACCATGTCAGCCACTTAGGGGTGACACTGGGGGACATGGTTATTAGCCATCTCTCCCTCCTTTGTATCCTCATCTTTTTACTGTGCTAGGCAGGATGCCAGAGAAAAAAAAAATGTCCGCTGAGTAATCAGCTCGAGCATCACTCATACAGAACATAATGAAGCTGCAGAGAAGATTAGCGCACCAACCTCTGTGTCTAGAGGCAGCAGCAGAGTAACTGGCCAAAACAGAAAAAGCCATGAGGGTTTTCTGAAAGTGATCTGTAAACAAAATCAATGTGACATTAATCTAATAAAATAATTACAAAATTAATCACATGAACTGCAGTAAGAAAGGCTGTGTTTGATGCTGCTTGCTTGAAGTGCAACTGTTTATCCTGCGTTTGACCTTGGAGCCTGGACTGACCTGAGCTGAACTCAAGAGAGATAGAGGGGGTTTGAAAAGCTCTACGCTGGTAGTCTGTGCAAACAATGCCCTTCCAGGAGGGTGTGTACGTGAGCAGAGGCACACAGTGTGAAAGAGAAGTGGACAGAGGAGGGGGGAGGGAGAAAGGACACTGAAGCGGCTGACGGAGGGGTGCACTCGAGACATGGGTACTAGCACACAAGCAGATTAAGTGAGGCTCGTTCTGCATGCTGGCCAAAAGGCTCTTTTCTTCTGAACTCTTTTTTAACTAGCCAAAGGGATCAACAACTCTCAACAAACCAAGTCCAAATTATCTACTGTGATTAAACAATGTAGCAGTGTTTGCCATCTTAATGATTTAGAAATCCGAAAGATATGAACTACAACAGTACATCTTGGTACATCTTTAGCAAATGCTTCTAAAATACATGTACAGTTTGGCACTCCTCCTAAACTGCCATGAAATGAAATGACACGATGTGGAGAAAAGAGAAGTACTTTTTTCCAAAAGTAGCTACTGTAGTTTTGGTCTAAAAAGCAGACACCAATAAGTTAAAGGGCAGCCAAATTTCATTGACCTGTCATTGATTAACTGAATATCTGGCAGTCAGCATGCCCTTGGTTCTGATGTGTTCATGTGACCAACCTTCAAATTACCTTTCAGGTGTCCCTGAACCAAATAAGGACAGGAGAGCCTCTACGTGACGCAAAATAAAAGATGTGGGTTAAAGTGAATAAGAGTGAAAGTAAAAACACAGTCTGTCTCTCAACTTGTAACAGCAGGCAGTAAATGTTTGCTTTCATGACTTACAGGGCAGTGCACAATGGTTCTCCAAGGTTATTAATATAACAAGAGAGTTAAGAGTAAAAAATGAGACTGACTTTGATATTTGTTTACTTCTTAAAAATCTCCAAACACATCTGTGAGATCAACAATTACAGTAACAGTGGCTAGAGCCTTAGCTTTAAGTGCCTTAAATGCTTTGGAGTGCAGATTAACTCACTCAACACCAGCATGCACCCACTACACAGGCCTTGAGCACACTAGAGAATAATGCAAAATCATCAAAGTTCTCAAGTTATCAAGTTCTTCAAAAGCTCCAGGTCCACGTTTTATTTGTGGAAAATGCCATGATCCCAACATAAGGCTGGATTCAATATTTAAACCTAATCAGCAAAGAGGATAAGATGACCCAACCGTGTGTCCGCAGTATGTTTCAGTCAACAGATAAGCGGACGTGCATCAGTTCACGTCCTGGGCACACCATTAACTCAGCAAACACTTCACAATACCTGCAACCTGCTACACACACACGCACACTCTGCATCACAAGACATTTATGGTCCAATCAAAGTGCAATATGATGTTTGACAAGTAACACATCTGTCTATCCGTGTTGCCAAGCAATACATTATTCTGCTGCTCAGGCTACAATATGACATTAAAACTGTGACATTCACACAGGACTGAACAATCACACTGTTCATTTATTCTACTGTAATCCAAAAAAGGCAGGAAGAAAACTTAAAATGCAAATTATACTATAGTAACAGCTCACGTCATCTATATGACTTCATGCTGGGCTGCTAACTTTAGATGTTAATGGAATACTTCACCCAGAAAATGATCATTTGTATATCAATATCTCGCCCACGTGTTACACTAAGTTCCTGAAGAAACAGTAAACACAATCCAAAAGCAGAGAAAATTCTTGATGAACTGAAGTGAATGGGGGCTGCATTTAATGACAGCAAGACGATAACATCTGCTTACAAACTGTAACATAACTTGTAAATATATATATAATTTAAGTCTCATTTATCCAGTCCTATGCTCAGTACTTCCGAAACACATGCTTTTTTGTTAACCCTTACTATTTAAGCATACGCAAGTGTTTGAACTGAGTTCATATGCTCCGGCTTGCCCAGGCACACTACTTGTCTGTGCATCGAACTGTGCATGCAGAAGTGTTTTAAATAGTAAGGTTGAAGCAAAAATGCATGTGATTGGAAAGCACTGACCAAAGAACTGGATAA